TATATATATATATATATATATATATATACACACTTTAGTCAGTTTTTGAAGAAAGATTGCAAGATATTCTTCATCTCTATAGAGTATTTTTTTATGATTCATTAATATAACTTGTACAACTACACTGCGGGAGAGAAGTATTGATTTTTTTTATGTTCCCTTCTACTTAAAATATAAATCTTAGCTACAATAACGAAGTTGACAAGTCGAGTTTTAGACTGCACAAAATCAATGTGCAAGATAATAAATGCATATATCCAGAGGCTGCACACTCTTCTCCCCCCTTGAACATGATCATATCGGGCAACACATCACTGTGTTACTATAATAATATCCTTAAGTGTGACGTATAACAGAAGAGAAAGAGAGAGAGGGGGAATGCTATGAGGTTAAAATGCATCAGCCAGGTGGTTAATGCCCCCGTAAAGCCAAGGCCAAACTCAAGTTCACCTAAAATTCACCCCTCGATGGTGGACGTCTCCCTTATTTAAACATTTAAGAGAGAACACGGGGTTTATATATAAAGTAAATAGTGTGTATATACACGGAGCGATAAACTATTTTAATATCCCGAAAAAAAAAAAAATATATTTAAAAGTTTCTCTCTGCTTTTATTTTATTATTTTATTTTTTAATCTTAAATATCCTCCGATGATAAACACACTTAAAATTCAGAAAAGGTTTGTTTATATGTAAATTGTAATCTGTTAAGTTGGCAGCATGCCAGAAGTAAGCGTCCGTTTGTGTGTATTATTTTTATTTTATTTTATTTTATTTTTTTTAATTAATAAAATAATATGTATTTATGTATATTATTTTTATATACGAGAAAATATGAAAGAAAATATCCAAGTATTAGGAGAATTTAAAATATTTTCGATTTTAATATACAAGCGAAAATTTGAATAATGTAAGGTAGGAGAAAAATAGTAATATAGGCGAATCGATAACATAAGCTTTTAATTCTGATTTGTCGACGTTAGCAGCACTGCCTGCCTCCATTGCGGCCGTGCAGGCTACGACTCTGAATATAATCAAAATTCGATCAATTATTTTAAATTTTTAAAATGTCAGTCGGTAATTTTAGTTTCTCCCTACGTTGCGTCGGTTTTTTCCCCCATAAATTCCCCAAAACTTCCCAAACGTTTAGGGAATTATCCCGTTTTTCTCTAATTATACTAATTAATTTATATTTCGTTTTTAAGGGATTTTTACCTACTTAATTTAGGAATATTTCCCTAAAAGATATATTTTTCTTTTTTTTTTACCCGAAGCAAAATCTTGCATAGATGAGGATTTTTTTTTAAGTATAAGTTAAGGGAGGAAATGTGTATTTGTGAATATTTACGAAAATGCTAGACGAAATCTAGAAATTTCCAGACGTTTCCGCAGTCATTAAATGCAGCACCATTTATTATGATACGAAATAAAGTCAAGTTATGGGAGCAGAACGGTGAATCATTCTGGTATTAAATTACATACAGTATTCCTAGTTCGGAGCCCTCTTTACGTTTATAAAGTGATGGAATAAAGCGACTTTTGTATATATATGAAACACTTAATTGATGTTTAAAATAATTAAATATTTAAGAGAACGAAGAAGAAGAAGGAGGAGGAGGAGGAAAATTTATTTATTTAAAACTATAGATCGATTTTTTGGCTATGGATATACTTCAAACGGATTTTAAAATAATTAGCTGCGTGTTTGTTTTTTTTTTGGTTATTCGCTTATCTTTTAAGTGTATAAATATAGTTTTTTTTAGTTATTTAAATGTAAAAAATAATAATTTGAAAAGTATGTCGATGTTTATTTACAAAAATTCTCCCGAGAGGGGATTTACCGTTCCGGGATATTTCCCTGCTTATGCAAATTATATAAACTTCAGTATATATATGTTTTTATTATTATTATTATTATTATATTCATTTATGATTATTCTATTTATTATAAATTCATGAGTTTTTATTTTACTTTACCGAATATTAATGTAGTATAAACGAAGTTATTTATTTATATAATAAAAGTTCTTTACGTAATTTTCATATTACGGTGACGACAAAAAAAATCGTTGATTTTAATTAATTACTTTATTATTATTATTATTATTCTCTTCCGTATATATTTATATAATACACTTTTCTTGGGATATTTTCCTGTTGCTATACTTTAACCGTCCGGGAAATAATAATTACACTTCTATCGTTGTAATAAAATAGGTGCGGTTATTCACTTGTCATATAGGGAATTTTCCTAACGGGTATTCGCCTCTGGGGATATTTCCCTATTGATATATTTTAATATCTGGGAAAAATAAATGGGAAGCCATCTTGAAGAGAGAATCTACCTAGCGATCAATAGCATATTTTTTTAATTAAGTACATCATTTAGTAGATTATGCTTTAGTCCAACCAATGAGTCACCTTTGTCGTTAAATGTGACATTAAACGAAGTTAATTTCACATTTAACGATAGAATAACGCTTTATTTAGATTTCTAAGTTAATGCATGGCTGATTGCGGCAATCGTTAAATAAACAACGTATTTAATAAATACACGGGATGCAATCTAAATATCAAAACTGTCCACGTAATAGAGAACATTTAGAATATTTTTGCATATATCAGTAGTTAAAACCTCGTTCCTAAAACTAAGAAGAGGGGTCGGAAAAAAAAAGAAAAAAAATTATAACGAGTTATTTTTGTCATAAAGGCTGAAACTTGATTAAAATTTCAAATATTGAAGATAAATTTCCCTATGGGGAATACACATTAAGGGATATTTTTCTAATTATTTCAATACGAAAATAAAAATCTTCCGTGCATTTTAATATTACAACAGCGAAGATTTATATTAATAAACATATTTTTTTTCCGTTAAAAATAACTTTTATGCATAAAACTACCGAGAAAAATCTTTTATAAAACTTTAAAATCGATTTTTTTTAAACTTTATATAAAGTTTTATTTTTCTTTTCTATTTTTTTTTTTTTTTTTGAGGATTTGGGGATCGCTCAATCCTCTTAAAATAGAAAATCTGGATATTTATGTGTAAGCGCGTATATGTCAGCTATAATTATGCCAAGTTTAGTCTATGTTACTTGTCTAGGAATTTATATCTAACTATAAGCAAGGAGCGGCTATTTATATAAGATAAGCAAAGCAACCACATTTATAAGCATTGTTGCCAAATTACATAAAAATAAACATCGCCCCCTGGATTTACAGGAAAAAAAATTAATAATAATAAATAGTAATTTAATTTATTTTAAAAAAATTTTTATATAATTTTATTTTAAAACAGAGTTAAACATAATTTTTTATTTGCGGTTAAATGTAGGGGAAAAAAAGTGATATAAATTAACGAATTTTTATCCCCAGCGAGGGAATTTCATTTTATATAAAGTTTGAAAAATTACGAAAGGAGTAGGGGAAAAAAATAAGAAGGGCGAAAGTTCTTTAAAGAAAAATAAAGGAAAAAATCTGCGAATCTCGTAAAAAAAATTAAAGAAAGTAAATAAAACAAATCAAAACAAAATTAAAGGGAAAAAAATAAAAATAATAATAATAACCATAAAAAAGGTTATTTTTTCGCTCCCCCCGAAATCTCACGCGAGCCGGACACCCTAGTGCGCAGACGCGTTGTTTGGACGTCCCTTCCGGAAGAAGAATATGGCGGAAAGAATCGAAGAACGTAACAGGACGTCGAGTTATCAACTTTCTACTCAACCGACGGAGAATGCGAAGACCCGGCAGGCCACGAACTATGGCGTCAAACTGTTCCGTGATTATTGTTTCCGTCGCGGCGTGGACAGGATCGACTGTCTGAATGACAAAGACATAGCCAAGTTGTTAAAAGGATTCTATGCAGACGTCCGCACCAAGGACGGGCAACGTTTCAGTGTTAATTCCCTGATTGCCATTAGGTACGCACTCAGTCGATTCTATTATCGTTTGCCCCAACTATCCCGTAAGATCGATATCGTGCGTGGAACGGCCTTCGACGAAGCCAACCAGATATTCAGGAACGTCCTGAAGGACTTGGAAACTCAGAACAGGGGTCAGAGCGGCTGTCAAAGGGTCGACGTCGACACAGATGATCGACACAAACTCAGACATTACTTTGTTCACGCCATCCACACTCCCAGGGGTCTACTACACAAAGTATGGTACGATCTGATGCTACAGATAGGAAGGAAAGGAAGGGATGGACAGAGGATGTTATCCAAGAGTTCGTTCGTTATCGGGACGTCTACCGACGGCAGACAGTACATTTATCAGGTATGTTGATTTTTGTTATAGTTACGGCCGTAATGACGGTCGATATCTCTCTAGTACTTGACAATTTAATGGAGGAGTTTTCGAGTGCCTTTACTTCCAATCGTCCTCTATACCCCCGGCCCGTTGCAAAACTTTTCCTAAACTCTGATCGAAAGTTTTTGATCGTTTTCGGCCTTATCGACTTTTACCCTCCTCCTCCTCCTCTTCCCATGTCAACTTTTTCTCTCTCCCGGCATCAATTTTTCTCCTACGCGTTTTCCCTATTTGAAAATTAACGTTATCGATCCGATATACCAAATGTCATGATGTAGTTGTGAAAAGGAATTTATTCCTAATCCTATTCGTGAATGTTAATTTTTTTCTTCTTCTTCTTCTTCATCTTATTCATTTTCGCCTTTTTACTATCATTGTTACTATTTTTAGATTTTTGTTTTGGTATTTACTTTAAGGGTGAGTGGGGTTTGCCTACTCTTCTTCCTATTAAAATTATAACTGGAAATAAATCATTTTTGTTAATTATTATTAAAAAATAACTTATTTAATCTTTTCTCAAATTTTTAAACTTGCATCTTGTTTAAATTTTTTTGTTGTTGTTTTGGTATTTATCTCAAGGGATGAGGAGGAGGAGGAGGAGGAGAACCCCTCCTCCTCCTCCTCATCACCTTAAAATTATAACTGGAAATAAATTAATTTTTATTAATTATCATTTAAAATTTTATTATTATTATTATTATTATTAAAAATGACTTACATAATCTGTTGCGAAATTTTTAAACTCGGATCTTGTTAAAAATTTTTTTTTATTATGTTTGTTTTTATCATAAAAATAACCTAGAGAAAATTTTTCTTTACTATATTAAATAAAGCAAAAGTTTTGAATTTAAAATTTATTCGATAAATTAAATTTCTTCTTGGGTTTTCTTTTTCGAATTATTTTGTTTTTTTATTATAAAAAAAAAGTAATAATAATGTTGTCATTATGAAATAATTTAGGGTAAAAATATAAATTTAAACAGTTTTTAGAAAAAAAAAAATAGTTATAAATAAATTTTTTCCGGTTTTCTACGAATTTAATTAAAAATTATATTTATTTATTAAAAATTAACTTGCCGATAATTAATTCCAATTTATTTTTATTTTGATTAATTTTTTAAAAATTAATTTTGCATTAAAATAAGTTTTTTCTTTTTTTTTTTTAATTATGTTTTAAGGACAATTATAAAATTTTTCGAGTTTAGAATAGATGTCTTTTGAGACGGAAAGACAATTGCACTGGGCCTCTCTATCTCTCGTATGGGGCCTCTAAGCAGTTTGATGAGTATTAATAGATTACTTCAAGGTGAAGAATGCTTCATTTATCCAATTGTCTGAGCCTTCTTTTTTTTTTTTTTTTAAATTGGACGAAACTTTTTATTCTTAATATAAAAGTAATTATTAAATTTGTATTTGTTTTAAAAAAAAAAAACTTTTTTTTTTACCTTATTTATTTGTATATTTTGTCAGAGTTTTTATATTAATTTATTATTAAGTTTTAATAATTTATTAGTTTGGAAGTCAATTTTTATACACGTTATAAGCGTTTTATATTTACTATTTTAAAATATGCTGTTGATAAAAGTTTCGGGAACTACATATTTTTAACCAACGTATCGGAAAATAAATAGCTTTTATTATTATTATTATTTTACACTTATACTTTTTATGTAAGAATTTATATTATTATTTTAAAAAATTATTTGCGCAATAATTTTATCTAATTTTCTTAAAAATAAATGATTATTTTGTTATTTATTCTCTCGAAAGGGACGTTAACTGAATTTAATGTACAGAATAAAACTTGCTATAGATAGAGAGTAAGAAAAGTTTGAATAAATAATTATGTAATTGTTTTGGTGCTAATTAAAGCAAAGTGTAAGTTTGGCTGTCGTTTAGCGCGCATTATAAATTTTGAGATATTAATTTCTAAAAAGTTCCAAAACAAATTTTAATTGCTTGAAAATATATTATAAATTAACATATGAATTTTAGATTTTATTTACGAATAAAATTACATAGTAGCATTGTAAAATATTAAATTAAAATTCATAGATAATTATTATTAATTATTAAATTACATTTAAGAAAACTAATTGTTGTAAAGATATTAATACGTTATAATAAAATTATTTTCCATTAAAATGCATTATAATAATTAAATATCTTTCTGTTTTAAAATATAAAATGAAAAATTCTTAATCTTAATATTTTATTATTTAATTTAGAATGGATTTACGATTCAGTTAATTTCTAAAATTTCAATTAGTAATTTGTAATTTTAAATTAATTTAATAATTTTATACCGAATTTCGACGGTAAAAGTTAACGGTATTTTTCTTGATCTTTAAAAAAGAAATGACTTGTTTTCCAAAAATTCGATGCAGTAGAATAAGAAGAATATCAACAACAGTAAATTTTATTAAGCAGATTTATGCACTAACTTATTACTTGATCTATCCTGTTTGATTACTCTTGCTCGGAAGATATCTTACTTCATAAAATTATTGCTGATAATAATAATAATTTATATGAAATTATAAATCTGTCTTAATATAAACATACGAGATGTCCCACCAAATCTATTCTAGAATATATTCTCGTCAAATTTTGAGGTGTAAGAGTCAAAAAAGATACTTTATCGTGAAAGGAACGTTTGAATTTTTACTTTTATTTTATTTTATTTTATTTTATTCAAATAAAAAAATAAAATTTTCAAATTTGCTTAATTTGAGAAAGTGATATTAACACTTTTCTACCTAATTAAACAGCAAATTTATATTCTTACCTGCAATCAATGAAGTTGTTTTTATAAGAAAATATTTTCTACACTTGCATCACTTTCTTCAGCTTTTAAGAATAACAATCAAAGAACATAAACTCTAGAAATAAGTTTTGAAAAATCCAATAAAATGTAATGAATTCTAATTATAATGATATATATATAAATCAAGTGGTTATTTATCATATTTTCCTGCAAGGTTGCAAACCAGCAAAGCACATGTGTTGCAGGAAAGTTTCTACTTTTGAATTTTTAATTAATAAATTTTAAAAAATATATTATTTTGCATTGTTTGGATTATATTTCTATAGTAGTTGTCATATGTTACTGTTTACAATAATTAGCATTCGTCATAAAAAGTATACTATGCATCAACCTTAGAGGAGTCTGTCAAGCTGGATTTTAATATCAGAAAAATTGTATTTATTTTATAATTAT